TGTGTGTGTGTGTGTGTGTGTGTGTGTGTGTGTGTGTGTGTGTGTGTGTGTGTGTGTGTGTGTGTGTGTGTGTGTGTGTGTTTTCAGAATGAAAGGATTTCAGAATGAAACTAAATCTGGAAATAAATGAAAATTATTTCCAAAAGACCGATACTTTACATTAAAGTTATCAAATGTTTTTGAAAGAAGTCTCTTGTGCTCACTAATGCTGCATTTATTTGATCAAAAATACAGTAAAACAAATTTGAGATATTTTTAGAATTCAAAATAGCTGTTATACTTTATATATTATATAAAGTATATATATACTTCAAAATGTCATTTATTCCTGTGATCAAAGCTGAATTTTCAGCATCATTACTCCAGTCTTCAGTGTCACATGACCCTTCAGAAATCACTCTAATATGATGATCTGATGCTCAAGAAACATTTATGATTATTATCAGTGTTGAAAACAAATATTGAAACTGTGATGCACTTTTTCAGGATTCTTTAATGAATATAAAGTTCAAAAGAAAAGCATTTATTTGAACCTGAATCTTTTGTAACATTATATATTTGTTTTGTTTTGCCATGTTATGGCAAACACACGGTCAATATCACAATCCATAAAATATGAATTATTATATAAAACATTTCAACTTGACATACATTTGGGTTATCCATACTGAAACAAACATGTAACATTATAAAAGGCTTTTACTGTTACTTTTGATCAATTTAATGCATGTTGAATGGTATGGTATCTACGCAATATCGGAAAATCTCACCATGGAATCAAAAACTAAATATCAGAATTAAGCGGTTTAAACAGGTAAATAATAGGTTTTGATCACTTAAAGTTTTACAATATTTAAGGAATTCACAAGATTTAAGGAATCAGACTTACTTCCTACTTTATTTGAAAAGACAAAAGAGACACATCAAATAAACATCAAATGAATATACGAACATTTAGCTTTTGATTTCTCCATATCATGATATGATCGTGATATGACTAAAACTGGGGGAAATTCGAACGTCAGCCCAGACATTATTTCTAGATCAATTTAATGCATCTATGCTGAATAAAAGTATTAATATCCTTTTTTTTAAAAAATTATTCTGTTGAATGGTACTGTATATCTACGCAATATCTGAAAATATCAGAATTAAGGGGTTTAAACAGGTGCATTTGTTAATTCCATTTTTAACCCAACGTTTGGGTTTGTCCATATTTGACCCAACAACAACCCAGTTTAAAACAACCCAGAAT